GGGGGCGCCCTAGAACCTGCCCGGTGGCGCTTCCCGGATCCCGCCCAGCGTCGGCCCCCGCCCTTGGCTCGGCTCCTGTTTGCTTGGCCATCCTTGCACCTCCACCCCCTTTTCCGTTTCTGGGGTTGTACACCGGCTGCAACCTACCCCCTTCCCGGCCCTCCACGCCCGCACACACCCGGTCTGGGTGCGGTGACTGGGCCACGTCGGTCCCCTGTTTCCGTCCTGGTTCAGAACAAAGAAACCTGGACTTCTGATGTGCCTCCTACCTTCGGAGAGTCAACACGGAAGCGGCATCTGCCATCAGGGCGTCAGTAGACCTTCCCGCTTGAAAAGCCGGGTTTCTGCGTGCATTCGGACGCTATCTTTTGCCTAAGTATCTGGCGAAAAATGGTTTCGGTGTCCTGGGTGCATTTGATGCCACTGGGGATCTAGGTCAACTCACGTGAAATGAAAACTTTATTTGGTTCTGCTGCGTTGCTTTGAAACTTCCCTTGTCTGTTCCGGGAGGTCTTTTTTCTGCCAAGAGCCATTTGGATATTTATAACATCATTCGAGGGCCACTCAAAATTATCAACTTAAAAATTAGCCCTTTGTCTTGGGTCACCCATTTAATTAACGCACCCCGAATGCCTTGGCAGGGCCAGGCCGAATGATTTCCCTGGCCACACGCTCCCCGCCCCTGGAGGTGGTCGTGGAGCCTTCCACATAGTGGAAGTGAGTGATTGCATTTTTCATCCTCACCTTTTTTTTTTATTTTTTATGAAGAGCTCTATTTCTCCTAATGCTTAACTTCTTAACTTTTTAAATTAAATGTATTCTTTCTCTGATCGTTTGTAATTCGCAATTTGTAAATGATAAGATTCCTCAAAATTGTATCTGAAGTTACCCAATTTAGTTATTACCCTGCAGACTATTTTCTTGATGATCTTACACTCCTTCTCCTATTTCTTGTCATTTTACATTTTCTCTGAGCTCTATTAGTCTTCATAATCTTCTCTGTTGCAGCCTGCTATTGTTGGGCTTAGACAGGAAGTATTACAGGTCCGCGTCTGCAAACGTGTCAGTATTGTTGGCGTCATTAGGCATTACAAGACCTTTGAAGCTAAGTGTCACCAAATCTGGCATTACAGGCTTATTCTGTGTAAAGTTGCCAGTGAACTGGAGACACTGCTGTGTTAGAAGCAGTCTAGGCCTGGGAACCAGGGTGTAAGTGTCATTTGCCTCAGATATGTGATAAATCGAGGATAATAACACCAGTGTTTTTTATACCTCACAAACTTGTTGGTTGGAACATATGAAATGATGAATGTGCAAGTGGTTAGTAAATGTGAAAAGCCCTCTTTGGGGAAGCAGTTCTGTTCATTCCGTCAGGAGTAATGCTGGTAGAAGGAGCAGGGAGGAAGGAAGGCGTGGAAGAAAGGAAGTAGTATATTTAGCCAGATCTGAGAAATTAACCCTGGCTGGCGGTGGATTGAAAGACGTCTTGTTAAGCTTACTTTCTGTAAAGCAGAATGCTAGCATAATATGATGATAGTAATATCCCAAAATTATGATATTTGTAACTATAAGAAAGTGTTAGAGATCAGTTATTAGACTTTAATCCTTTAAAAGGTCTCACTCAGCATGTGTCTTTTATAGGTGGGATAATTATTCTTTGCTTTATTTTCAGAATTTTAAGAAAAGTCAGCACCATTATAATTTTTCTTAAATTTTGTGTTAACATTTCTGATAGAGTATCTCATTTCATTCTTTGTTTTAATGGACCTATAATTGACATAGAACATGTTAGTTTCAGGTGTACGTGATTTGATATTTGTATATATTGTGACATGTTCACAATTAAGTCTAGTTAATCACCACACAGTTACAAAAATTTTTTTCTTGTGCTGAGAACTTTTAAGATCTACTCTTTTAGCACCTTTCAAATATATAATACAGTATTATTAATTGTAGTCACCATGCTGTACATTACATCCCCAGAATTTACTTTATAACTAGAAATTTGTGCTTTTTGGCCCCCTTCACTCATTTTGCCCATCAATCTGTTCTGTGTATCTATGAGCTCAGTTTTAATTTTTTGTTTTTGTGTTGCTTTTTAGATTTCCACATGTAGGTGAAGTCATACAGTATTTGTCCTTCACTTAGCATAGTGCCCTCGAGGTCCATCCATTTTGTTGCAAATGGCAATATCTTCCTTTATGTGCTGAATAATATTCCTGTGTGTGTGTGTGTGTGTGTGTGTGTGTGTACAAGTGTACGTACACATATACACATACCACATTTTATCCATTCATCCATTGATGAGCACTTAAGTGGTATCCACATTTGGCTATTGTAAATAATGCTGCAATAAATATGGAAGTGCACATATCTTTTTGAAATAGATTTTATTTCCTTTGAATAAATACCCAGAGTGGAATTGCCGACTCATATGGTGGTTCTACTTTTAATTTTTTAAGGAACCTTTATACTGTTATCCAGGTAGCTGCACCAATTTACATTCTCACCAACAGTGTACAAGGATTCTTTTTTCTCTACGTCCTCCCCAGTGCTTATTTCTTGTCTTTTTTTGTACTAGTCACTCTTACAGGTGTGAGGTGACATTGGGTCATTTCATTCTAAAAAACCTGCATGACCTTGCTTTCAAGGAAGCAATGACAAGAAAGCATATAGGATTTTTCCAGGAGTGCTTGGTGATCTTCATAAACACATAAGATGGCCTAAATTATTTTCCTGTAATGCTAACAGTGTTGCCAAACTCATAGGAAAAGTGAACATAAATATTTAGAATGAATCCCTTTCACTTAAATGAGGAAGTGAAAAGCTTGCCTGGGCATTTCCTTCTGCCAACTGTAATTGATTTCAGCATAGATGTGTTACTAGTACCTATTCCAGCAGCAGTGTTAAGCTACATAATAGTAAAGTTACCATGTAAACTTATAATTCAGACAGTTCTAAATATGATCTTAATATTTAACTTTTGCTTATACTGCTAAGCTGCACTGGGGAAATCCCCTTCTTGGTGGTAAAGGAGGAAATCCATTATCTCCTTGATTTTTAATCTCACTAAATTGAACGACTGTCTTTAGTTTATCTCTATGACCTTCACTCATAGCTGGCAAAAGTAATGAAATGCCACAGCTACCATAAGTCTGTTGAGAAATCAGGTTATTCCTGTTGCATTGGGTTATTTTACTTTTATTTTTTAAATATTTTTTTTTTTATTTCAAAGAGGAAGGGAGAGGGAGAGAGAGATAGAAACATCAGTGATGACAGAGAATCATTGATCGGCTGCCTCCTGCACGCCCCCTACTGGGGATGAGCCTGCAACCTGAGCATGTGCCCTTGACTAGAATCGAACTCAGGACCCTTCAGTCTGCAGTTCAGCGCTCTATCCACTGAGCCAAACCAGCTAGGGCTGCATTGGGTTATTTTAACAAATAGTCTCTTAAATTATTATTTCCTCATTCCTTTTCCCCTCATTCTAATTTACAAAAATGGGAAGCAGCCAGTTAACTTCTAAGTCAGCAATATCCTTCAGTGATTGTGCTTATATTGCTCCTTTCTTGTTTGTTTCCTGTTATTAGAGCTGCTGATAAAGTTCTTCCAAGAACAGTACTCTCTCAATTGTTTCAACTGTTTTTATCTACTTAGTGTACTTTTCCGCCTAAAGTTTGCGACGAAATGTTTAAGAGTGAATATATCTTTCACTCTCCTCCCCAAACTAAATAGCCACGTTTATACACTCTGCTGTATTAACATCACATTATTCAGTATGACATTAAAGTAAAAATTGAATGAATTGGCTGAGAGAGCAGAAATACTCAGGCTCTCTGTATTTAGAGGGGTTGTTTTCTAATGATACACTTGTTCAAGGGGTAACACCACTAAAAGACATGGTTTTATCTTCTAGACTTACAACCTGGGACACATGCATTTTTGCAACTAAAAACAAATATGAAAAAAAAAACCCAGTAAATTGATTTTATGACCAGACCATTGAGCTAAAGCTAGAGGTGTAAGCTAAAATATAAGATTATTGTACCTTTTCAGCCAATAAAAAGTAAAATGACAAATGAGTTGTTATAAATTTTTCTCTTTTCACAGGACATTGGCTCTCTGGATTATCAGGAGTTTGTAGTTGACATTGAGTCCAAGCTGAGGATGGAAGGTGTAGAACTTAAGGAAGAATGGCAAGATGAAGATTTTCCAATGTAAGCAGTGCTTATAAATGAAAATAAATTTAGAACAAAACTTCAAACTTTTGCCGAAACCGGTTTGGCTCAGTGGATAGAGCGTCGGCCTGCGGACTGAAAGGTCCCAGGTTTGATTCCGGTCAAGGGCATGTGCCTGGGTTGCGGGCACATCCCCAGTAGGAGATGTGCAGGAGGCGGCTGATCGATGTTTCTCTCTCATCGATGTTTCTGACTCTCTATCTCTCTCCCTTCCTCTCTGTAAAAAATCAATAAAATGTATTTAAAAAAAAAAAAAACTTCAAACTTTTTTAATTCTGATGTCACCTATTAAATGACTATTGGGTTTAATGTTCTGCTTTTAATCTTTTTAAAAATGTATTAAATAAATAAGCCAGGCTTTCCCAGATCATATGGCCGGCTACCTTGACAGATTTGCATTTGTATTTACAATTGTATTGGCACCAATAGAGTTGATTAGAGTTGATAGAAAAAGAACAAAGGCAAACCTTTTTATTTCCAATTTTATTGAGAAATAATTGACATACATCTCTCTAAATTTAAGACATACAGCATGATGGTTTGCAGATCTTATATTTAAATGATGTTTCCATGCCATCATGGTTAGAAAACCATCCAGTGCACAGTAAGGTTCCGTAGCAGTTGCAAGGGATTGGTGAGAGTACTGAGTCATTGCATAGTACCTGATGATAATAGTAATATGGAAATGCTAATACTCAAAGCAATTACCATAGTCCCATTGTGAGCAATGATTTAGCTTCATCATACATTGTATCATGTATCACATTAAATTTATGCATTTGAATTATATTTGTTTTGTAGGTTTATAACTTTTATATTTGTTTCATAGTTGTATTTAAGGGCAGTTACATAAGGAATTTGTATTTACTTTTGTGTTACTGATACAAATATGTCAGTCAACTGACATCTGAAAATATTTTCTTTAATAGTGTTTTATAAAGTCAATTTTCTACATAATTATTTTTATAAGCTTTTTTTTTTTAATCTTCACCTGAAGATATTTTTTCATTGATTTTTAGAGAGAGGGAAGAGACAGTGAGAGAGAAACATCAAATGAGAGAGACACATCAATTAGTTGCCTTCCACACGAGCCCCCACCAGGGCTGGGGATGGAACCTACAACCCAGGTACGCCCTTGACCGGAATCAAATCCAGGAACCTTCAGTCCAAGGGCCAATGCTCTATCCAATGAGCCACACCAACTAGGGCTATAAGCTATTTTTAATAGAACTTGGGACTTGAAAAAAAAATTTTTTTTAATTTCTTACTTAAAAGTATGTCTTTGTCTTCTAGACCATTACCAGAAGATGATAGTATTGAAGCAGATATATTAGCTGTAACTGAACCAGAGAACCAGCCTGGTAAGAACTTGACACTTTTAGTTTCAGTAAAGTGATAGACTGTGCTATTTTTGAACACATTTCTTTGTCAAGGAAAAAATATACTTGGTGTTTGTTTCATCATAGAGAGCAAAAGATAAGTTGAATGTTGAGGAAAGAATTTTTGGAATACTTTAGAGGTTTTTGGAAATTTCTACACTAAAGGGATGAGAGTAGATCATTTTTAGTAGTAGAGGTGACTATGAGATCTGCCTCTATTTAAAAAGATGTATCTTTGCTGGGATACACCATCTTGCCATGATGTAGAAGCAGTCGTGATCAAAATCCAAAGTTGTAAATTAGTGCTTTGAGATTGTGTTTAATTTTATTTTTCCTAAGGGTGAAGTGGTGGACATTTAAACATTCCTTCTAATACATCTTTCACTTGGTTTACCCATTCCAGGCTCACTAGAAGTTAATGGAAATAAAGTAAGAAAGAAACTAATGGCTCCAGACATTAGCCTGACCCTGGATCCTAGTGATGGCTCTGTGTTGTCAGATGATTTGGATGAAAGTGGGGAGATTGACTTAGATGGCTTAGATACACCATCAGAGAACAGTAATGAATTTGAGTGGGAAGGTAAATGTTTCATTGTTTTTATCTAACTTTTATTAATGAATGTTTGTCTTTATATACATGCATGTTTTTTGTAATGGCATTCTCTTAGGATAATTGGAAAAAACTTAAAACTTGATGTTAAAATTAATGATTAAAGGATTTTGTTGAAATATGTTATTTTTTATAAAGTTCTTTTTTTTTTCCCTTTTTTACTAAGGTATGAGATTTTGCTAACTGAATATTCTCGAGGCTTTCAAACTATTTTTAGTAGATTACACAGGTGGCTTTTTTTTTTTCTCAATTGCTGTGAAGTTACATTTTTTTCATGGTCACTCCCAAAATATTGCTTGATAATTATGGCATAGTCTTACGTTCAGTTGATCCACTAAAAAAAGCTTTGAAGAGACATATAATTTAGGAGATGTGCTAAAAGTAGTTAAGGATTTGCAGAGAGAGAGTCCTAAAGGGAGTTTTTTGAGGATGATTTAAAAAAAAAAAAATAGGTTTGCTGATATTGCTGCACTTTGTAAACAACCAGCTTGAATTAATGTATACTCTAGCCTCAGTTTTATATTCGTCATCATTTGTTATTTGAAATCCAAAGGAATTTGCATGTGTTTTGCTTCGCGTGCTTTCTTTAATTAGATACTTGTTGGCTACCGTGTCTTTGTATTGTTGATAATTTATATGTATATACCATCTTTGAAATTATTTTTACTTCAAAGCAGTATTTAGCACTAAGTATATTATCTACAGTGAAGTGTAAGATCCTTGATGTGCTGTACCTTTTGTTCCTTTTTTCTTCCCTGTTTATTGGTTCAATAAACAGTCCAGTAAGAAGCAATATTTTATAAAGATACTGAAATAGTTTTCTGCCTATGTGTTTTGTTTCTTCTTTCTTTAATGCATCTCTAGTCATTTCCTGGAAGGATATTTTCCGTTAACTGCTTTGTCTTGGAAACAAACAACTAACATGCAGTAGGTTTCCCCTCCCCCCATCTTTTGGTAAGGACTATGATACTAAAATTTTGAAAATCATTACAGCATTAAAAATCATCTAAAATACAATCTTGAAATATAAATTACACCTAATCATTGGTGCTTATGCTTTGGCTAATGTCAATTTAAAATATACTTTTGCATGTATACTTAAGAATATTATCAATAAATTTCTGCTTTAAAAAACTGATCAAATGAGCAGTAATCATTGACTGGTTAACCACTTTCTACTGATTTAATGTTTGGGGAATAATTTATGTGCTCAATAACAACAAAAAATGATTGGCTCTCAGATAATTAAGTAACCTATAGTGTTGATAACTGTCAAGGACAGTCTTGTTATAAACAGAATCTGGAAAGGCATTGAAGGGCCAGTGTACTAAGATTTTGATGGCTGTATGAATTATCTTTCCTGAACTTACAGATATACCTTGTACTGTGATTAGGTGCTTTCTGAATTAGGCAACACAAAAAAAGTTAAAGAACCATGATTTCCAAAAGCATAAAATGACTTCATCTGAAGAGCAAGCCTTTCCTTCTATTATGAAAGAAATATTAATATTCCACAAAAAGTATAATGAAGAAGTCTCCAAACATTCTAATTAGATAGCAAAGTGGTTAACATGTAATTTTATTTTGTGGTATAAGTAACAATTTGGGATTCAAAAACCTTTTATTTTGACAGATGATCTTCCAAAACCCAAAACTACTGAAGTTATTAGGAAAGGCTCAATTACCGAATACACAGCAGAGGAGGAAAAAGAAGATGGACGACGCTGGCGTATGTTCAGAATTGGAGAACAGGACCACAGAGTTGATATGAAGGCCATTGAACCCTATAAGAAAGTTATCAGTCATGGAGGTAAGAGTTACCTAAGATTGTTTAGATTTTTTAATGCAACATCAGAAACCTAATTGCTTAAAGAAACTCTCCCTTGAGATATTATGTAATTTTGAAAAAATAATAAATATTTATCGTGCCATTTTAGTAACATAACAGGTTTCAACTAAAAGAATAAAACCAACATTTAAAAATCATTAATACATGCACTATAGTAAGTTCAAAGGTTCTAAGAATGTGCAACGAAAATTCTCCCTCCCACCCTATCCCTTGATACCATCCCCAAAACTGAGACTTTCTCCCCTTTTGTATCCATTTATAATTTATATATGCAGTGAAATGTTCTAAACCGTTTTTGTAGCATTTCCAAATTTCTTTTTTTTCCAGCTCCATTGAGAAATAATGGACATATAACATTGTAATATAAGTTTAAGATGTATAGCATGTAGATATCATACACTTGTATATTGTAAAGTGATTACCACCATAGCCTTAGCTAACACCTGCATAATTACTATTTCTTTTTTGTGGTAACAACATTTTGAAATCTTAGCAACTTTCAAATACATAACTCAAAATTACTAACTATTGTCACCATGCTATACATTAGATCCTCAGAACTTATTCATCTTCTAACTGGAAGTTTGTACTCTGACACATCTCCCCTTTTCCTGCATCCCATAGTAACCACCATTCTAGTCTTTTTTTCTGAGTTTGGGTTTTTTTAGATCCCACATATAAGTAATATCATATTTGTTTTTATTCTGACTTATTTCACTTAAAAATGTTCTAATCTTAAGTGTACAGTTCATTTAGTTTTGACAAATACCCATATAACCATATATACCCCTATAGCCTATACCCCTAGACATACAGAACATTTTCATACTCCCTCCCAAGGATTACCTCTCCAGTAACCACTATTCTAATGTCTACCCCCTGGTTAGTTGTACCTGTTATAGAATTTCATGTAACTGAAGTCATATGGTGTACACTCTTTGATCTACTTCTTTTGCTCAGCATAATGTTTTTGAGATTCATCCATGTAGTTGCCTGCATCTGTAGTTTATTTCTTACTACTGAGTGGCTTTCCCTTGCATGGGTAAGCCACAGTTTGCTTATCTAGCCTTCTTTTGATAGACATGTTAGTTTCAAATTTGGGGTATCATTATTAAAACTGCAATGAACATTCTTATACAGTCTTTTATGAATATAAGTAAAACCTGGCTTTTTAAACTATGATTCTTAATTTACCTTAAAACCCTGAACAAATCATTCATCTTTACTACAAAGTAGAAACCCAGTTCATTCCACATTTGTATGTAGGTTCTACTTTGCATATTTGTGGAATATACAAAAATATAAGGCTTTTTGTCCCTTCCCCTAAGAAATTTATAAGTCAAATAGGTAAAGCTATGAACACAATTATAACTTCTGTCAGTCTGTCTTTGCTGTATATAGAAGTTTACCTTGGCATTGTGCAAACAGTGCTAGAATGTTAGTGCTAGCCAAAATGCACCTCACTCTGTAGAGCATGTCATGTTGCCTGAAATCCTTCTAATGCAGGCAGGGAGCCACATAGGTCAGGCTGATAGATTTTATCATATAAAATTATTTCCACTTAATTTACTCTCTGCCAAAGGCACCCCTTGCTTATTTCTATAGTCTTCATTCATCTGAGAGCAATTCACTTGAATATTTGCGGTTACATTATTCTGCCTAATTTAATCTTACGCAGATGAAAAACAAAACACCACCACAGGATAATATAGATCAGGAAGTCCACAGACATATTAATTCAGATAGTTCATACAAAGCAGGTTGTGAGACCTAGCTCATGGCTTAAACACAATATTTTTCAGAAATAATACTTTATTTTTCTTAAAATAATTAGGGCAAGTGTATCTTACTGAATTTATCACTATATTTTGTGACTAAGGGATTAAGAAAGATGAGATTTTAATGTATTTGAAATGTTCAAATCTTTTTAGTGCATGTTTGCAAACAATAGAAAAGACAGTTACAGCAAAAATATTTGTTATTGGATACACTTAATATCTAAACATTACAATTCAAAAATACACATTTTAGCTCTGTTTTTCTAGAATTGTATCAGAGAGATGATGTTTTCTTAGGTATTAATGCCCTAAAATCTACAAAACATTAGGCAATGTTGAACGTAACTCTTTTTTATTTATTTATTTTGTTTTTGTTTTTGAAATCCTCACCAAAGGATATTTTTCCATTGATTTTTAGAGTGCGTGGAAGAGAGAGGGAAAGACAGAGAAATATTGATATGAAAGAAACACATCAATTGGTTGCCTCCTGCACGAGCCCCGACCAGGGCCCAGGCGGGGGAGGAGCCTGCATCCGAGCTACGTGCCCTTGACTGGAATCAAACCCGGGACCCTTCGGTTCACAGGCTGACACTCAAACCAGCTAGGGTGAACATAACTTTTTTAAAAAGCATCCGTTTAGCTCAGTTGCTGTGGCTCAGTTGGATGAGCGTCATCCCATGCACCAGGAGGTTGCTGGTTCAATTCCCAATCAGGGAACACGCCTGGATTGCAGGTTCAATCCCCAGTACGGGGCCTGTAGGAGGCAACTGATCGATGTTTATCTCTTCACTGTTTCTGTCTCCCTCTCCCTTCCCCTCTCTGAAATCAATAAAAACATATATATTTTTTAAAGACTTAAAAAAAAAAAAGCACCCACTCTAACCTGAGTTGCATTAGAATGTTTTATTGCAGATACTGTTGTATCGTGTCTGCTTGGGTTATATCGTTATATTTGTTTACTTGTTAAAACAAGTCTGGCTTTCTGATTATGCTTTTTTAAGTGGGTTTCTGCTTTTTATGCCCACCCTTTCCTCTTCATCAAATGTTATTGTTGTCTTTTTGACAAGAAGGTATTTAAAGATCTAAAAAAAAACACACATAAAACTTTTTGATCCAAAATTTTGTGGAAGGTAAACCACTTATACTCTAGCAACCATACAGATGTCCTCTGAAAAATCTTCAGAGTAAAATCATGCTGGTGATTTTATCTTTGGTTTCTTTTCAGGATATTATGGGGATGGATTAAATGCCATTGTTGTGTTTGCTGTCTGTTTTATGCCTGAAAGTGGTCAACCTAACTATAGATACCTGATGGACAATCTCTTTAAGTATGTATATCTTCACAAAAATGTTTGGACAGAATTCCGAGTTAATTAGATGTCCAATTTAAGGAATTGAAGTTTAGCTGGGTAAAAAATTAAAAATATCCCAAGTCTGGTTGTTTTTAAGTACTTATTCTTTAGCATTATGAAACTATTTGTTTTTCAACTTGACTGAAAAAAATTATTATTTTAAAACTGGAAGGGATATTTCAGATGATCTGTTCCAGCTTCTCTATTTTATAGTTGAGGACACATTGAGGATAAAGAAGTGACTTTTTTTAATTTCAAAATTACATGACTAAATTACATTTAGCCCTGAAAAGCCAAATGTAACTAAGCTGACTCAGTTCTATTGTATTTCCACAAAGTCATTCTATTTCTCAAATTAGTGCAGTTTTTTAAAAACTTTGTTGTGGAAAGTTTCAAACATATACAAAAGTAAAGAGCAATGTATTGAATCTTTGTGTACCAGTCACCCAATTCCACAATCATCAATTTAGACTTCATTCCCACAATTCAAACTTCCCCCACTGTATAATTTTGAAGCAAATCCCAGACATCATATTTCATCTATAAACATTTCAATGTGTATTTCTAAAAGGTAACTCAACCAATGTTATCCTAATAAATGTAATTAATTTTAAAAATAAACAGAAGATAACTTTAAAAAAAATAACCATTATACCAACTAACGCTGTTAAAATTTTAATTGGTTTTTCTATCATTGAGGAGAGGGAAGGGAACTGTATAATTTGGATAGCCTAGTTTGGTTCACAAAACTGTTATTTAAAGTTTTAATTTGCTTTTACAGGTATGTTATTGGCACTTTGGAACTATTAGTAGCAGAAAACTACATGATAGTTTATTTAAATGGTGCAACAACGCGAAGGAAAATGCCTAGTCTGGGATGGCTCAGGAAATGCTATCAGCAAATTGATAGAAGGTACTATAAATACAAGTTGACAGCTAGTCTGAATAATTTGTATAATGGCCTTATTACATTATTTTCTGTTGGCACTTAAAGGTACCATGTATACACTTCCTAAATTACATTTATTAATTTCATAGAAAGTTTCTATTTTCTCAATACAGTATTTTTAAATGTTATGAAGGAAATTAGTTTTGATCTGTTTTATAAAGAATAACTTTAATTCCTTAAAACAGATTTATATAATAGCTCTTTATTTCTCCTTATTTATACCACGCTGAACATTTTCCAGTAATTTACGTTTTGGGGAAAGGATGGAGAACTTGGTACATTTTCTATTTTATTACATTCTGAGTTTTGCCTAAGTTATAGTGTTAGCATATTTTATGTTACGGTGCTTATTTAGCTGTCATCTTCCTTTGGAATGAGCTCTAAAAGTGTATTCTATTGGAAGTTAGTTAGTCATCCATGCTAATGGAAGGAACTTTGTTCCTCTGATTGGTTTGATTTGATCATAACTAATTCAAGCTAGTTTAATCAGCTCAGACCCATTAATAGGTTTCTCTTCATATGACATGGACTCGTTCTTGTCATTTCAAAAAGATTCATAACAATCACTTTATTTAACTGCAAAATATGTGTGATAAAAGTTATTTGGTCATTTTAAATTGTCTAGAATAATGCCTTTTATTTTTAATAAAAATTTTAGACTTTGTAAGAACTCATGAGATCTAATTTATGCTGCCGGTTACTGTGGTAATCTCCACCCCCAGCTTTTTGCTTGCACAGTGCCTTTCATGGTGTTGAGGAAATTAGTACCAGTTTCTTCCCAGTCCTGAAAAATGTGAACAGTTTACTTCTGTATTCAGTATTAGCCTCTACCCTTGGGTGGCAGTCCTGAAGACAAGTGCTATACATAAATGTAGCCAAAAGAAGTAAAGTTTATTTCATACCAGTAGGAGGGACCATCACAATTCAAGAGTGCATTATCTTGTATTTGACGGAATATCACATCTAAATGAGAACACTTAGGTGAGGGATTTTCAATTAATTTTTGTTTCAACTTCCATATACTTGTTGATCGCTTAACTTCTAGCATTAGGATTTGTAGAGCTTGTTAAATCTTTCTTTCTTTCTTTTTAACTCCAGGTTACGGAAAAACCTAAAATCTCTAATCATCGTACATCCCTCTTGGTTTATCAGAACACTTCTGGCTGTTACAAGACCGTTTATTAGGTAATTTTTTGAATGCCATTGACATTTTTAAAAAGCAGGAACACAAACTCCTTATATGAATTTCTTGTCAGTGCTGCTGGTCAGAAATATTGAGGTAATTATTTTTATTTTCTTCCATAGCTCAAAATTCAGCCAAAAAATTAGATACGTCTTTAATTTGGCAGAACTAGCGGAACTTGTCCCCATGGAGTATGTTGGCATACCAGAATGCATAAAACAGTATGTTTTGTTTTATTTCTTTAATTGTATTGGATCTTTATATTTTGATGTGCAAGAGGTAAATATTTTTAATACTCATTTTTTCTCATTTCATAGATTGTAAGTATTTTGTAACTTCTCTTGTTTTTTGTAATAAAATAAAAAAAAGAACAAGCTAGCCCTGGCCAGTGTTGCTTAGCAGTTAGTGTTGGCCCGAGCACTGAAAGGTCTCCAGTTCGATTCCCAGTCAAGGGCACGTACCTGGGTTGCAGGTTCGATCCCCATCCTTGGTCAGGGTGGGTGCAAAAGGTCTTTGTTCTCTCTCTCTCTCTCTCTCTCTCTCTCTCTCTCCCTCTCTCTCCCT